AAAGATGGGATAGAGCTGAGAGCAAGAGTCAGCCTGGGAATGATATGTAAAGGGATGAGATTCCCTGGTGGGCATCCAGCTGCAGCGCCTTGTTGTGAGATGCAGCCTCCCTTGGTACCAGACAGCAGCAGGGCATGCCATCCCCCCGCTCCTCTAGCTGCAGGGATACCCCCTCAGCCTTGGCAGCTCCTCCTGGGTTTGTGTGTGAGGGGAATACCCCCAGCCTGATGTAAGGCATGCTGAGCCCTTCTATTCCCTCCCCTCCAGGCCTCGCGCTCCTCCAGGAAGGGGATTGCCTTTGGGAAACGCTCCAACTCCATGAAGAGGAATCCCAATGCCGCGGTGACCAGGAGCGGCTGGCTCTACAAGCAGGTGCTGGCCCTCCCATGCTCCCTTCAAGGAGCCCCATGTCTCTGTCGTGCCCACCCTAGCTAATGATCCTCCCTGATAGATTCCCCTGACCCCTGGGACTCCATTTGTCCAGCCTCCTGCCAAGGTATCTCCCACGTCCCCCCACTCCTGGTCCATATATGATTACACAGCACACTGGTACTGGGTTCCCACCCAGCCTGACAGCCCATCTTCCCCCAGAAGCCCCCAGGGCCAGCTGGTGTATGGTGCCAGAATTGCCTTCTCTGTGGATGATGCACAGGCTTCCTGCTCTCTGCTTCCCTTTCCCTGCCCCACATGCAGCAACGGGGTGGGGAACTGGTCTCATTCCTGCCTCTCTTGCAGGCCAGCTCTGGGGTCAAGCAGTGGAACAAACGCTGGTTTGTGCTGGTGGATCGCTGCCTTTTCTACTACAAAGGTGCGTGGCAGAGTACAGGACAAATCAGGTCAATCCCAGTGCATGGTCCTGAGACTTTCTGACAGCCGAGGCTGTTGCTCCAGTCAGGCACAGCTAGACACCATCTCTGCTTGGTGTCTACTCTCTGGGCCTCTGTAGGTCTCCCTCATCTCTCTGCTGTCTGTCAGCCAGTTTCTTACTCTCTTGACATGAGGCAAGACCACGTCGTGTGGATCCTGGCACGGCAGTGAGGGCAGAGTCCTGAGACTGAGCCTGTGCGGTGTTCCACAAAGAGTGAGATTTGCCAGGAAGGCAGCTTGGTGGGGTGCGAGGTGGGAGAGGTCGAGCCAGCCGTATGACAAGGATACAGCTGTGATTGTGTGTGGTGCTGAGAGGCTCCAGCAGGGTGCTGGGTACACCTAAGGGAGTTGTGAGAGGTCAAAGCCTTGCAGGTATCTCAGCAGGAGGGAGGCTGCATCACAGTACAGAGCCATTCCCTTCCTCACCTGGCTGACATCCGTGGAGGAGCTGGTGCGAGAGGTGCTGGCTGAGGACCTCCCCACCTGCCTCTCCCACTCCAGCAAATGATTAATGCCAGGAAATGAACCCTTCGCCACAGGCCTGTGTCCCAGAGCAAGCCAGGCCTCCTGGCCAGCAGTACAGAGCTGTTGTCAGTAGTGTCACAGGACTCGAAGAGCATGCGAGGGGCTCCGTGGCCATATGCCAGCTCCTGGTCAGTGGGTGGCATGGGATATAGCAGCCTCTTCCTTCAAAGGAGCTAAAGAAGCAAGCCTCGGACTCTGACCCCAGCTCCCAGCCCCATCCTTCTCTCTGCCCCAAGGCTGGAGCAGACCCCTGGGCTCTGGGGGGCAGCCCCTCACCCCACCTGCACCTTGTGCAGCCTCTGGCTTCTGGCAGGAAGCTTGCTCAGCCTCATCCCCAGCAGCACGCTGGGAGGGTGGGCATGAATAATTAACCAGCCTGCGCCATGAACGGTGACTGATACGGGCCTGCGTGTGCCGCTGGGAGCGGAGGGTGGAGGCAGGGGGGAGAGAGCCAGGCGGATGCAACAGGGGCAGGAGCCGTGCTTGACAGGTGGGTTGGTAGCCTGCCCTGCCAGACTCTGCTTTCCCGGCTCCATCAGGGCCGTTGCCTTGCCCAGGAGCCCTGCTCCCCTTTCAGCAGTGGGAGAGAGGGAGTCATTCCCAGGATCGGAGCTTTCTCAAACGCTCCCTCACCTGCTTTGAGGGGCAGGCAGGTCTCTAGCCTAGCCTAGGAGGCCCTGCTCCCCCCTGGCTCTGTGTCTAATGCCCTGTCCTCTTCATGCAGACGAGAAGGAGGAGAACATCCTCGGCAGCATCCCGCTCCTCAGCTTCCGGGTGGCGGCCGTCCAGCCGTCAGACAACATCAGCCGGAAGCACACCTTTAAGGTCAGTGTGCAGCACCCTGGGGCTGCTGGGCACTCTCAGTTGTTGGCTGGGTTCCTAGACGCCATGACAGGGCCAGGGCTTGTACCGCAGCCTCTTCCATGCAGAGAATAGCTTCTGGGGAGCAGCAGTGCTCAACACAGCCCCCTGCTTCAGCTTCCAGCTGCCAGCGGCGATTGATGTGTTGGGGGGAGGTAGGGATGGGATCTGGGAAGTCCTCAAAGGCAGGCAGCAAGCTGAAGTGAGGGATACATGGGGCCAACTTGCAGGTGTGATTCACCGCAGAGTGGAAGCTCTGCCTTAAAGATGTCTAAGCCTGCTCTGCACAGGTTGGAGGGCTCCAGGCCCCTTGCATTCAACTGCTGTGTCCCCTGCCCCTTCCTTTGTCACTGATGCCTGCACCAAACATTCCCCCTGCCATGAGCGATTCTTTGTCAAGCTGCAAGAGGCTGCGTGGGCAAAGCCAAGGAGGCTTGGTCTCTAGGTTTCTTACCCAGTAATGCCTGAAAGCAAAGATTCACCCAGTCTGCAATACCCAGACATGGTTTGCAAAGCTTCCCAGTCCCTTAGGGAGGCGCTTAGGTCCAAGGAAGAGCCCCGCTATCCATCCTAGCCACGGGCAGAATTGCACAGAGTGTGCATGGAGTCCAGTCGGACATCTCTAGTGTGCCCCCGCAGGAAATGTGCCCTACCTGCCTGCCCACCATGCATTTCCTGTGCAGCTGTACTCATGCTCCATAACCTCCTCCCACTGACAGGCGGGTCCTGTCTGCGCGGAGGCTCCCTGCCACACGGCTCTGTGAGCCAAGTGGAAGGAACACCCTGAGGCGGGGAGCACTTGCTAAAGTGCATTATTTCTGGGTGCTTGGTCGCCACCCGCCAGACTGGCTGAAAGGACTCCCGCATCACGCTGGTGGGGAGGGAGCATGCTCAAGTCTCGTTCTGAAGGAGGCTGAGCTCTCAGGGGCTTTAGCCAGTTGGGTGCTAAGCAGATGCGAGTCCGCTGTTAATGGAGGGTGGACGTGACCTTGTGCAAAAGGCAGCACGTGATGATGTCAGTGATACTTTCAGTTTTCATCCCTGAGAGGGAGGAGGGAAACTGAGGCACTGAGCTTGCTCAGGGTGACCCAGCTGGCTGAGCCAGGCACACTCCCCGCCAAGTCCCCTGACATCACTCTCCCTATCAGGCCTCCCTACCTGTGGGGTTTAAATGGGGCCTGATTCAGCCCTCTACACAAGGGAGGATATCTCTGGTGCGGAGGGTGATCAAAGCGCGCCAGCAACCCAGTGCAAAGCAGGGTGCGTCTGCAGGGCTGCCAGCCTTGCTCCCTATTTTGAATGACCCCGCTGTATTAAGCAGCACAGCCAGCCTTGCTCTCGCACAGCACTCGGCACTCCTGCCAAGTGTCTCCTTAGCTGGTCTCCGAGCCCAGATGTGCAGGGTGGGGAGGTCCTCTGCCCCCTGTCTAACGAATGTTGATTAGAGCGTAAAGAAAGGAAACGCTTCATAACTGTTTAGCACATAATTAGTTTCTAGTTGTCAAGCTTCTGGGCGGGCAGGCGTATCTGCCAGGGAGCTTCGAAACACTGGAGCAGGGCCGGGGGCCATGTTTCCTTGTAAGCATGCTGTTGGACACATGCACATAGTGCCTGTTGTGCACCTGTTCACAACTCACCCGGGCATGGTCCTGTGTGCGCGCATGCACGCGCACACGCGCGCGCACACACACACACATTTGTAGCCTCCATGCACATATTCAAAGGCACATGCACAAAGTCATACATGTATGCATAGTGCCACACTCTTGTCCACAAGGTGGGCACAATAATAATACCTCGCTGAATGCTGGAAATAACCACACACATTTTCACACACTCACATTCTCCTTCTCATTCATGCTTGTATGCACCCACCTAATGCATACCTCAAGCACAGTTGTACTTGGACTCGCACTAACAGCCACACATGCATCGGTTCACCCTCACAAACATTCACACCCAGCCCTTACTCAAACAAAGCCCAGCGCACCTACAGCTACACGTGTGCCACAGTCAAAAATACACACGGATGCAATCCTACACGTGTGCTTACACACAGCCAGTGCTGAGGTTATAACTCAGCAGGAGGAACTGCTGTACGTACACACACACACACACACACACACGCGCGCGCGCGCTCAGAGGGCAACTTTCATTTGGTTGTGGTTTATTTATAGGCATTTTTGGAGCTCATGTCAGGTTAACGCATTGAAATGCACACATTTCCCACCCACCCCACCCCCAAATCACACAGGGCAGCTCCAAACAGAGGCCTTACACTCAGCTCAGCCATTCCCAGGCTGAACTACTGTATCTCTGTCCTATTTCCTGCAATAACATGAGAGAGAGTGCACATGTTTGAGAATTGGCAAAAGACTGCCAGGCCATTAAGAAGGAATGGATCCGGCCTCCCAGACTTGTTGCCAGTCAGATTTAACCCCTTCAGCTCAGGGGAGGACAGGGGGTGCAGCTTGGAGGGAATGATGCCAAGGTGCATTTCCAGCCACAGGGAGCGTGAAACATTGGAGGCTTTCTCCTCTTTTATCATCCCTTTGGCCTCTGACCTGCTCCAGAGCTTGGGCAAGGTTGCACTTCACTTCTCTGGCACTAGCTTATCACCTGGTTTCTGCCTTAGTTTCTGCTTTGTCCAGCTCCACTGGCTTCTGTACAGTTCTGCGTGCACTGGAAAGTACCAGCCTTAAGCACTGGTTCTCACAGACTTTAATAGGACAGAAGCATGTGCTTAGGCCTCAGTTCAGCAAAGCATCTGAGAGGAGATAGAATTTGGCCTGGGAGAAAACAACATTTAGGATAAAATTTATCCTGGGGCAACACTGTGGCTCTTACATGGCACTTGGCTGGGTCATAGGCCTTGCACACACTGAATGCCACTTGTAGTCAGTGCTTCATTTGGAAGGCGCCAGAGAAAGATGTTTCTGTCGAGAAATGTTTCCATCAAGAAACCAGAGGGATGGAAAATGGTAGCATTTCTTGCAAATGAATCTGTTTGGGGTTTTGCTGGGGGGGCTAGATTGGGGGAGGGAGGAAGGAGGAGGCTACAAAATGTGTGGAAACAGAGACTGTGCATTAAAAACGTTGTTTTCCAAAAGCTTCTGTTGAAAAGCCAGATGTGTTGGGGCCTTGATACAAAAGTGAAAATGTTTCCAAATTTCCATTGGGAAAAGAATTGGCTTTTTTTCAAGCTGCTCTGGACAGAGAACCAAGGACTGGGCAGGGCGGGGATCAAGCCCTGTTTTCTGGAGCATGGAAACCATGTGATTTAAGTCAATGGTGTTGTGAGGTTTATTTTGGTACTGTATGCAGCATGCAGAGTCCTTGATATGCTCAGGGTCAGTGGCTGATGTTTTAGCTGTGCTCTCAATAAGTCTTAAAACTGCAATCCTCACATGCTCAGATCACTGAGGTCGGGACCCGGCCGGACATTACAGGGGCAGGATAGTGCCCCTGGGCTATAGGTTAATGCAGCACAGAGCACAACCTCTGCTACACTTCCTCTGCCCGTCTTGGGTCCTCCTGCCCTGCCTCACCTGCCTACGCATCTCCCAGTTGAATTGCCTTTTGGGTGGTTTGACCTGTTGTCTGTCTTTCCTCCTTTTCTCTGCGTGAGGATCCCCTCTGGACAGGAGGTCTCTTCCACGGGCCCGTCTGCAATTCCAGCACACAGCCACCAAATAGGTAGTATATTCCTTCCATTTCCGAATGCATGCCAGAAAGCCAAGGAATTTGGCCGGTCCCAGCATGCCTCATTCAACCCCGTCCTCCCCTGACTAAGGGGGTCAGATCACAAGGGGTCAGCCTGCGATCAAATGCTTACAAATACCCAATGCATGGAGACTGGTGGAAAGACAGAGGTTTTTTTGAGTTTGGCAGCAAAGAGTCTTCTAGAGCTAATAATCTAAGGCTGGTAGCTAATTCATGAGAGCAAGTCCAAGCAGGAGAAGAAATTCTGAGGAGAAGAAATTCCAACAAAAACAGAGAATTTGGGGTTTGTTTGGAATTCATTTTTTGGCCAAACAACATTTTTGCATAAAAACATTTTTCTTTTTGCTCCTTCAGGGGATTTTTTTTCCTTCTCCCCCTCTCTCCTTT